TCCTCGTCAGTGACAGACAATTTTCGCACATTGAATGAAGTATGTATAGGTCTTAATGTAATGAGGTGTTTGAGCCAATAGTTAAATGATATTTTGCAAATAATGCAATAAATTGTTTGTTATGCAAATGGCATAAAAACCCTTTGAAAATGCATCATGTCCAGCCAATAATCTAATAGTACAAAATAACTCTTTGTTTCTTGGAAATAAGACTTATTTAATCATATTACTTATGTTTATATGCTGTTTGCTCACTGAAACCTGGCAAAGTGGATGGCATAATCCTCATAGGCATTTAAGGACACCAGCAGTACTGTGCAGCACATTCTCTTAAAAATGCTTAAAACACATTTGAGAACAGTGTCTTGTACAAAATCTCTAGTATACTGGAAAAATGCTTATGTATGTGGATGTATAATTTTGGTAGTCTTTATTTAATTATTTAGAGTGAGGTACAGTTATTTCACCTAAAGGAATGGGCGACAAATCAAGTTGACACAAGTGATTATTGGTCACATGACACATTTCATTTTTAAATTATTATATTATGCTGCAACAGTAACACAATAACAATCCAGTAATATATTAATATTAATTTATACAAGTGGAAAGTTATTATGGTATTACCATTCAAAATGTTTACTGTTTTGGCTACATTTTTTACGTTGTATGTGTATGTTTTGTATGTTTGTATTTTTTTTTATGTATTTCTGTTTTAATATATAGCAATGTAGTTATGCTAAGGGCTTTTGAAATGTGCTATAGAAAATGTTCTATTGAAACCTATTTTAAAATAGGTTTTAAATAGTTAAAACCCATTTGGAAACTAAACTCTTGATAACAATATATTGAAGGATTTATTTCATGTTTGTTGGAAAATCAACAAATGTTATAAAATACAGGCAACAAAAGATAAAGAAATGCAACTTAAATGACTTCATACTTGTGCCCAGGAGTCCAGATGCTATGAAAGCAGCTCAAAAAGAAGTCCGGAAAGTTCTGAGGGATTCAGGTTTGACAATGAACCCTGATGAGCCAAACATGCTAAACCTGAGCAGAGACCAGTTAGACAACATGCCTGTTTTGGGTAAGATTACTAAAATGTATGTTTTATTTCTACAAAATGAGTATAAAATATGTGTAACCCAGGAAATTAAAGCTTGGAATTGTATTGTAAATACAGATTTTCTTTTTTTTTTATTTTTATCTATTGGTTATAGACAGCATCATGAAAGAAGCCATGCGGCTTTCCAGTGCCTCTTTGAATATTCGGGTTGCCAAAGAGGACTTCCTGCTTCACCTTGACAACCAAGAAGCTTACCGCATTAGGAAAGATGATGTCATAGCCCTGTATCCTCCCATGGTGCATTATGATCCAGAAATCTATGAAGATCCTTATGTAAGATGCCACATTATCCTAATCTGCTGGACTTCCTTAGAACACTTTTTAAAATCAATTTGAGTAATAAACTTGACCACTTTGTTTGATAAATAAGATGAATTGGAATGAATGTCTGACTTTAATTGAATTGACTTTTTTTCTAAAGTGCTTCGAGATGATGTGTTATTAATTGGTGCTATACAATGAAACTGAATTGAATCTACAAAGTGAAACATTGCTTTCTATTGCTCTTCATTTCTCATTCTCTTCCTTCTTGCAGGAGTACAAGTTTGACCGTTTCCTGGATGAGAAAGGTCAGGAGAAAACCACATTTTACCGCAATGGGCGGCGGCTGCGTTACTTCTATATGCCCTTTGGCTCGGGGGTCACAAAATGCCCTGGAAGATTTTTTGCTGTGTATGAGATCAAGCAGTTTCTAACTCTGATGCTGTCCTACTTTGACATGGAATTATTAGACCCTGCTATCAGAGTTCCTCCTTTAGACCAGTCCCGTGCCGGTCTGGGAATTCTCCAACCTACATATGATGTGGACTTTAGATATAAGAGGAAGGAGAACCACTAAACCCAGTGCTTACCGTGCTGATTGACTGAATTACTTACTGTAGATAATGTAAATTTTACAGTACAATAGGATATCTGTGTGTAAATAGACTAAATTATTTTTCAATGTCCTGTTTCTTTTATAAAATCAGGTTGTAGAAGATAGGCTGTATGGAATCATTAGAAATGATCACATATTTCCAGATCTTTACTGGCATTCTGTCATATTCAATACTTCTCAGAGCCATGTACATTAAATAGTTATAAACAGTACTGGCAAACTCAACACATCATGAACTTTAAATGTGCAAGTTAATAAAAATCAAAATAAATAATAAAGGCACATGATCAAAATCACAGATAAGTATTAATTAAAATTTGATTACATTTATTGATGTTCCTGTGATTTATGTCACTGCATGAACAAATGCCAGACCTGCAAACTCCAAACAACATGTTAACCAGCATCTGCTATCAGAGGGCAGAGTATGGGGCATCACCCTTAGCAGCTCAGAGTGGAGTGTAAACTTTTGCCAGCCGTATGTCTCCCAAAAGAATAGGCCTGTAATGAAAAAGCAAAAAATGATGCAGCTCTGGTCAACATTTTGTTGGAACTACACTTTTGCACTGGCTGGTTGTGAACACCAGAACTACATAACGGTAGGTTGGCGTATTATTCTTGGTTTGGGTTTTCTTTCCAATAAAGTGTATGTGAGGATATTGGTACACGCATCTCTGTGTGTATTCAAATTGAGAAGTTGCAGATCCTTGTAACATCATTGAAAACTTTAATCTTAGCTATTTGACGCTTTTGGCATTTTGTCTTTCAGACAAAATAAAATATCTGGGTTTATTTGGGGCCATCAAAACCATAACCTCTAGGTTTTCCATTGGTGTGTGTTGCTGCAAACAACATCATGCAGCTCAGCTGAAATAGTGGAATTAAGAGCCAAACATATGAGGTCACCTCTGATTTAACCACACCACCACAATCACGCTCCATCAAAAACTCTGTGTGCTTCAAAGCAAGTGAGACCAACTTGTTGTCCGTCTGCTGACTGAAGATCATTTTGATAAGCTTAAGGGGTCAGAGATGGAGCTTTCCGAGGAAAAATAAGGCACTTCCTGTTATGAGGGGGCAGGGCCTATATTACATCAAAATATGACTAATTAGGGTTTGTCATCAAAGTTTGTCCCACTTTGATGACTCCTGCCAAATTTGGTGCTACTTGGCCATTGTGAGTGAAAGTTATAGTGTTTCATTTGCTTTGGCAAGTAAGCCAAGTCTGCCACTTGGCCACTGCTTCTAAACATGCTCAGAAACTCATGATATTGATAACTTTTAATCCCCCATCCCTTAACTGTCTCCTGACCAAAAATGAAGCCGACAGTGTGTAAACATAAAAAATGGCAAAAAATTTAACCTTTGGCTGAAAATGGCCGCCTCCCTGTACTTCTTAGAGCAGGGGTGCTCAAGTCCAGTCCTCCAGAGCTACCGTCTTGCAACTTTTAGATGCATCCTTACTCCCACAGACCAGGATCGGCTCTGAACAAGCCTGGCAACGAGCCATTCATTTGATTCAGGCGTGTTAGAGCAGGGAAGCATCTAAAAGTTGCAGGACACCGGTCCTTGAGGACTGAACATGACCACCCTAGAGCATACAAGCAGCAATACATTGACATAAGCAGTGACTTGGTAAATGGACTGAACTTATATAGTGCTTTATCCAATCATTTTTGACCACTCAAAGCACTTTACACTAGAGTCACATTCACCCATTTGCACTCACAAATGCTCACACATTTATACAGGGGCACATCAACATGTGGCAGGAGGAAGCTGGAATTGAACCTACAACCTTCCAATCGCAAGACAACTATTCTATCCATAGAGTCAGTCGCCCGTAACTCTAATTGGAGGACTTTTTTCAGTAACAAGTAATCGAACGTGTTACTAATTAAATCCAGTAATCATATTAAAGTTATTTATCCAAAATCACTGCATATTGCTATTTTTGGCATTTTCTCTAGTAAGTTAATTTTATTTCCTGTACGTGTCTTGAGGAGTGATGCTACAGTGATCAGCAGAGATGGCACACTGCTAGAGACTTGTAAACAATGGAGGGAGATGCATATTTTGTTGCTGGAGAAACAGGAGTTATTTTGAGGTTTAATCAAAAAACTCAATGTTTTTTTGACAAAGTATTTTGATAAAATAGTTTTTGTCAAAAAACAAAAAAATTTTTTAATTATTATTTGTTGTTAATAATCGTCGTGGTTTTTTGGGGGTGTGAAGTTTCTTATTTGGGCTCGGAAATGAGCATATAATCAGCCCCAGAATTTGACTGACAGGTAGTTTTAGTCAGGCTGTCCCTGTCCATCTTTTCCCTGATGGTTCGTCCAGTTGTGTCTGTTAATGTCAAAGTTATACATTTGCTGTGAATGACGTCGTGCTTTGCGTTGCGCTCCAGAAAACGGCAAACATCAAGACTAATATGGACAGCGCAATAAAAGTGAAAACAGCCACGAATGAACAAGTTTTGTAAATTTGCACAATTATTCTAATCATTAATATTGAGATAAGTGTCACAAATCACACTTTCTGTGTGATTTGTGACTCTTACTTTTTCTTTTTTGGACTGTTGTAACCATTAACCAAGTGCCCTTCAGTTCCTCCTTCTAAGTAAGTATTGGTAAAGCTCCATGTAATTCTTGCGTTTAGTGTTATCAGCAGATGCTGAAAGTAACTAATAAAGTAACTTGTAATCTAATGTAGTTATTTTCCAAATCAAGTAGTAATCCAAGTTACTTTTTCAAGGAGTAATCAGAAATCCGATAAAAGCTACTTTTTCAAAGTAACTTTTATCATTGGTCATAAGTCTAAATAATGATTTTTTTTTTATTATTAAATTTAAATGAATAAGATTTTTAAAGATACTCTAATTTAATGTGATGCACCTATTTTATAAAGTGAAAGTAGAACTTAACTGACATTCCTGATGTGTCAAACTCTTTAGATGTCAGTCGGTCTAACTACATGGATATCCAAACACAAATATAAGGCTGTCCTGATACTTTATAGTTTTTATTAAAACAGTGCATTAAACCACTAAGCATACAAAAATCACCAAGAGGTAAAGATGCTTGTGAAAAACAATACATAAATGATGTATACCTCTACAAATAAGAAAAAATAATTTTGCCTATTTCTATTGTTAATTAATCTAACATTAAGCCTGTCTTCAGTCTTTCAGGTTTTGTCCGGTTTGTCCATGTCCTCTTTGGTAAAGCTAAAGGGCTTATCGTAGCCCATGAGATGGTTATAGTCTTGAGGAATGGGGAAGAGATCTGGATTCACAAAAAGCCCCATGTGGCCAGCATAGAAGTTGGCAAACATCTTGCTGACAGCTGGGATCCGGACTTGGCTCTGATGGAACACACAACGTTTCTCAGTCAGGAAGACACTATAGGTGATGGCAGTGTAGGTATCTCTATCTGGATTGTGGTAGAGACGAATAACGTAGCCCTTTGTGATGAAATGGAGGATGATGGGAGTGAGGAAGGTGAAGAAGCCGATGATGCCACAGGAAATAACCTCAAGGGCAATGTTACCCATTCCCAATCCAGTCTTCAAAAGGATTTGAGGCATGAGGATGAGGCTGGCGCCGCTGGTACTATAAGAAAATATCTTCACCCCTGTACAAACAAGATTCACAGGTCATTGCAAAAAGTAACAAGAAAAACACCTTGTATATTAATTCTAATTTAGACAACATTTTTTTCCAAACAGACCTTCAGGGCAAAATAAGAGGTTAAGAGAACAAAACTTAGGACATACAGAAGACAAAAAATAGGAAAACAAGTACCAGAATAGCGAAAGAAAGAAGGCTTGAACTTTTTGGGTTGCGGATCTACAGATTTTGTACCTGAATTTCCAAATGGAAAAAAAAAATTCAGAGGAACTTACCATAATTTGAAAAACTTATACACAAAGCAGGGGCTCTGCAACCCAGAGCTCCAGGGCCTCCAGCCATTATTTTGATTTTTTTCCTTCCTTTTCAAAATTTGCCATTTTCAGGCACTTTGATGAGAACAGGGTCAGACCTGTGGTGGGTAATTTACTATAAAGTAACATCTGCTGATCATGTTATATTACACGCCCACCAAGCAAACCTGTTTGGATCACACATACAAGGTTGGATGTTGTTTTTCTACAGCTGCATCGGAACCAGATGATCTGTCCCTGGTCTTGGATCCCTTATTGCTGCTATAAAACCTGTGTTGACTCTGCCTGGCAGAGCCTTCATTCACAACTGCTTCATTATTGACTGTCATATAAGCTCTCTGTATTCAAAATGCAAATAAACCTACAAAATATTGAGTGATTTCATTGAACAATGCTTGATAATTATCTTTTTCTACAACAGACCACTTCAGAAAAAGGAAAAAGGGAAACCGTCTGGATAAAAAAAAACAACAAAAAAAAACAAACGCTGTATGCGCTGGGTTTTTACCTTAGAATGGCCAACTCTCTGTTATTCCTATGTCAATTT